GATAGCAACTCTAACCAGACGCATAGCTTCCCTAACTTTGTCTGGTCCGGAAATCATCTGAGCCTCGGTTCTTCTATAATTTCCTAATCCCATCATCTCTTCCACTGTAATTCCCTGTAACGGATCACCGGGTCCTCTTTGAACTCCAACCGACTCTTGAACTAAAGCTTGCCAATGTGCGTTAAACAGCAGCTGCTGATGTTGAGTAAACATCAGTTTCACAATGCTTCTACAGTCATTGACAGTTAGCAAATGCATATCAAATATGTAGTCTATCATTTGTTTAGCTGGTTCACTCTTAAATCCAAATTGACTCACTGTCTGTCGCAGCTGAGCTAACAACTTCTAATCAAGAGGTGTATAGGTCCCTAACTGAACAGCTTGTCCTTGTTGGTTTACCCCCGGGGTGTAAACTACAGGCAGAGCCCACGTCCTCGCCGCCTCCACGGTGACTTCATCCCCACTCTCTAGCCCATGCTTAGCCAATGCGTTCCATGCTTCTCCCCTCTGTCTAGCCATTTCCTCCCACAGGTCACTCTCTGCCCCAGGGACAGGATCTGGCTCTGGCGGAGATTGTGAACTACGCATTCCAGGCTTAACAGATTGGGCTGAAGGGTCCTTAATATCAGAGGTGGCTACGACAGGCACTTCAACGTCCTCTGTGGACTCATTGAGAGGGGGTGCCGAGGGCCAAGCACAATCATCTGTGCCCAAACTGCTAGAAGCAGGTATAATTACTTGGGAGACACTTGGTGCTAAAGGTTCATGATCTCCATACCGTGCATTCCTTTTATAGGCTTCTACTGCTTGCTGAGCCGCTCTTTTTTCTGCCTGATGTTTCAATAGAGTATTATGCACAACTCGCCAAATTTTTCCTAACTTTATTGCTGTTTTATCTTCTTCTAAGACTGCTTCACACAACACATCTCCTAACTTACGCCACTCACTCAATTCATGTACCGTGTGCGGGTTGGAAAAACAACCCTTCGCGTGACCCCATGCTAGCAATCCCGGTACGTCTTTTCTAGGATTTATGTCTCTAACCCCCAGCTTATCTAATAACCCCAAAAATAAATCATATGCTGCTTGCCTGTCCATTTTTGTCGTCAGCGCTGTTGCACCTCTCCGGCTCCGGCAGCACGTATGGCTCAAGACCACCGATGTAGTCCTTGAGGGTGCTTTCCCTTCGTCGTTTAGCACCGACCCGGGTGCCTCGGGTCCCAACACTACTTCACCGACCGTGGCGTGTTCTCTCCCCGGCTTTCTTCTCAGCAGGGGGTCGTCGTCGGGGTCACCATTTGTCGGAGAAGGGAGACGCAGACAACAGGTGGTCGTCAAGCAAATCTCCTTTATTGATCATTACACTCGTGTTTAAATACATGATTTAATTAGCTCATACATATTGCAAAAGTATAGCTCATCATTGGTTATTCTGCTATCTACGTTACTGCAGTACATAGCTATGTGCTTCTGCATTCTTGCGGTTACCAGACCGTCCCTGGTTCTTCTTTCTCGTTCTGTCTACCACATTCTTGTTCTCCTCCCCCTATCTCAAGGGCAATCCGTCCTTGAGACTGCCTCTGCACTAGTGGTGTTTTATCTCTAGCAAGTTTGTACAGTCATGGCCTTTCTCGCTTAACCATTCTGCCACAAAAGTCTCCACACAAATTTTCACTTGTTGTGTAAAAGCTCATCTGTAGAGTCCAAAGCCTTCTTTAGAAAGTCCAAAGGGTCTTTCTGGGATCCAAACCCTCTTATTAGCTTCCACAGATCTCCTCTCTTGGACCAAAACAAATGAGGCTCTGAACCCTGCAGATGAAGCTTTGGACCTTCCAAATAAGACTTGGAGCCTTCAAAATGATACTTTGAGCCCTTCAAATGAGTCGTGGGGTTTGTGCCTTAACAAGGTCAGTTCAGACTTAAACCAGGATGTTTTGGACATTAAAAATGAAATTATAGTTCCTAAAAACAACACCAAAATATAGATACTAAAAGAATAGCCTTAAAACTGTGGTTTTACACCCTAGAAATAATTTGGTTTAGTTTCCCAATGAGGCTTTGGGCATGATGAACATAAGGCTTTGAGCCCTCAGTGAGAAGTCTGCACCCTAAAATGAAGCTTTAACATGCTCTCCTGAGAGGTGGAATCCAAAGAATTCTGGTGCTAAAAAGCCAGAAGGGATGAGAGAGCCAGGGTGAGAGAGAAGCCGGGTGGGGCCTAGCAGCCATCCAAGGTGCACCCAGCACTGTTTGTGAAGGTGTTCCTTTGCTATTGCTTGTTCAGGGTCAGCCTGAAGCTCACCTTAAACAGCAGAGAAAATTCATTGGAAATGAACCCTAAGAGTCCAGGTGATTTGCTCTACAAATCACATGGACACATTCCGGTATGTGGGAAGAACGGAACAGAAACCCTCAGCACTGTGAATGTGCCAGCCAAATCAATGACCAGGTGTAACATCATGCTTGGAATGGTAGGGTGACACTACCTTCTGGAAGGTCTCTCCAGCGAGAAGGCTCTCAGCCAGGCAGGAGACACTCCATACACTCAGCCACAGATAGCTTGCAGCAGTAGAAGAGGCAAGAGGGGCTTTTGGTATGGTGATTCAGAGGGAGTTTATTTGCCACCATTCCAGGGGGAACCAGGTATCAAAGGCAGAAAACAATGGAGGGTCCAGGATTATATTTGGGTAAAGGGGGGCAGATCATAGGGTGAGGCTCCAATAGGGATGTGGTGCAAGAACCAATGGGATTACAGGGGCAGAGCAATGCACCAAACTGGGGCCCATGGGAAAACAGGGAAGGGAGAACTTTCCAGAGGGTAGACATAAAAGCTAGGAAGGGGAGGGAGGGCCAGTGTGCCAACAAGGTATAGAGAACTGGGGTACATTAACATGACGATGCAAAGAACTATGGGGGAAGGCCTTTTTCTTTTGCTTCCACGTTACACCTCGGAGGCTTCCCTCCATGCCATCACCACCGTGGGCTCCAAAGCCTCCACAACTAGGCTTATAGCCCTCAGCAGGTTTTAATTCCTCTGGCTACTGCAGATTCAGGAAGAGACAGTAGCTTCACTGGTGGGGGAACCCTTTGCCAGGGGAGGTCCACTGACTTCCAGTTGTGAAGGGTGCCTAGGTTGTGGTAGCCACGGGGTTCTGTGGGCACAACAGGCGATGTCCCCATTCAGCCCTCTGTCACAAAGGGGCAGAGATGTAGCACCTGTCCAGCCACTGTGACCTCACCTGCCCAATGCTTGGTATTCTGAGGAGCAGACCAGCAAAGATTGAACTGGTCTTCAGGATAACTCATCCTTTCTTTGTTACTTGAATGTCTGCACTTTTTCAAGCATTCTCTGTCTTTGGCAGCAACTACAAGCACCAACAAAATGATTCTGACAGTTAAAGCTGTTCTGTAGGTCACATTTGGGGTTTTTTAATTTTCAAGCTACATTTATTTTCTTTCTCAGCAGGAGATGGGTTTAATTCTGATCTGATCTCTCTGGAGGAGGATCTGGATCCTTTGTCATCCACAACTTTTCCATCTGTGCCTGAGAGGAGCAACAGCTGCAACAGGAAATAATCCCTGTAACAGTTTTTCCAGCAGTCTTGAACTTTGTGAATGCCCACAGACAACATGGCTGGTTCATCGTTCCTGAGTGTCAGTGCACTAACAAACTAGTGTGAAATCTGGGGTGTTTCCTGAGAGCAGCCAGACTGACCCAGGTGACTTTGGTTAGATGCAGGAAAATGCATTTGGTCACTCTGTCACTAGTGCACAAGACTTTGAAAGAGGACATTGCTTTTAGAAAGACCTGACACATGTAGGTACTTGCTTGTTCTTTTCACGTTACAATGATGAAAAAGGAACTGATTATCCAAGGTTCTAGAGGCAAAGGAAGGTAGCCTGGGGTCCAGGAATCAGAGTCGAGAGTGTTGAACTTTTGGCAGACTAAGTAGGGGAACAGACTGTTTTCCAAAACTGTTTCCATACCAGTAGATGTAAATGGGGTGTTAGGCTTTCCCCAGTGTTTCTGTGATGGTGGTTAGAGCTGTTGTCCTTGGTGCTCCTCTAGAGAACTCAACATTTGAATGTGCTTTCAAGTGACAATATTGTCACATCTCATCAAATATCATTTTCCCTGCAGGCATTGCTGAGGGAATGGCTCAGCCACAAAGGATCTTCTTTCCCCCGGAGGAGATTTGCATGGACTGGCAGCAAAGACAGAGACCTGGAGCAGGACTCTGCAACCTGGGCAGTACTTGCTACATCAATGTCATCCTACAGTGCCTGACATACACACCCCCTTTAGCCAACTACCTGCTCTCTCGTGACCATAGCCAGTTGTGTGAGTACTTTCAGCAATATTTCCTTGTAAATCTCTTGAGCTCATCCTAAGGATTACAGAACCTGTAACTGTATTTAGGAGGACAGTAGCCCTTCTTTGTTAGCCCCATGAGCTTGTGTTCAAAGAAGAAGCCATTGTTCCATTGTGTGTGTCCACAGATGACACAAGATGTGTGTCCATCTTCAGGAAGGCACCTTTTTCTAGCCTGGTATCTCTGTCCTTGCAAGTTAAATCCTCTTGGCTTATTGCACCAAAAACTTGTGACAATTTCTAAATAATGTTTTCCCTGGGCTTGTTAGGAATGATTGAAGTGGTTGGATAGATGGGCAGACTCCAGTAAGATGAAGTTTAATAAGTCCAATTGCCAAGTCCTGCATTTTGGCCACAATAACCCCCTGCAACTCTATAGGCTGGGGATGGTGTGGCTGGGCAGTGCCCAGGCAGAAAGGGACCTGGGGTTACTGGTTGACAGCAGCTGAACATGAGCCAGCAGTGTGCCCTTGTGGCCAAGAGGGCCAACGGAATCCTGGCCTGTATCAGGAACAGTGTGGCCAGCAGGAGCAGGGAGGTCAATCTTCCCCTATACTTAGCACTGGTGAGGCCACACCTCGAGTGCTGTGTCCAGTTCTGGGCCCTTCAGTTTATGAAGGACGTTGAGATGCTTGAATGCATCCAGAGGAGAGCAACAAGGCTGGTGAGGGGTTTGGAACACAAGCCCTATGAAGAACGACTGAGGGACCTGGGGCTGTTTAGCCTGGAGAAAAGGACACTCAGGGGTGACCTTATCACTCTCTACAGCTTCCTAAAAGGTGGTTTTAGTCAGGTGGGGGTGGTCTCCTTTGCCAGGCAACAACAGAGAGAATGAGAGGACACAGTCTTAAGCTGCACCAAGGGAAATTTAGGTTGGATGTTAGGAAAAAGTTTTTTTACTGGAAGTGTGATAAAGTACTGGAATTGTCTGCCCAGAGAAGTGGTGGAGTCTCCATCCCTGGATGTGTTTAAAAAGAGACTGGATGTGGCACTCAGTGCCATGGTTTAGTTGAGGTGGTGTTAGGGCATGGGTTGGACTCAATGATCTTGAAGGTCTCTTCCAACCTAGTGATTCTGTGATTTTGTGACACTGCCAACTTGGGAGAAGAGAAGACTGTTCTTAGAATTTCAAGATCTTCATTAGGTTTCTCAGTGCGAGGGATGATGTACTAACCTGAAGAGCCTCCCTCCCTCCCTCCCTCCCTCTT